GAGTCGGGGCCGCGGGCAACGGACCGGGCGACCGGCCCGAGCATCCCGGGTGTGAGGGAGGTAGCCCCAGGCTCCGGGAACCGGGCCCCGCCTAGCACTGGTCAGGGAAGGCTTCCCGGAGGAGGAGCCGCCCAGGCTTACGGCCTCGGGCCAGGACAAGAGGATTCGGGATTCGCAGCCCTTCCTTTATCAAGCGTTGCTGGAGATGTCTGTGTGAGTTAGCTGCGTCCCAGTGGGGGCGGAGGGACAGCAAAGCAATAAACAGATCCTTGAGACATGTCAGAAAGTGAACGAGGCCCATGTGACACAAGACAGGTTGAGAAGGCTACTTCAGACGGGTGCCAGGAGCAGTTGCTCCGGAGAGGTCACAGGGGCCCTGGATGTCGCTAACAAAAAGGAAGCAACCTAGTGACAACCATCTGTGGGCAGGGAGACCCGCCAGTGCAAAGGTCCTGAGGCAGGGAACAGCCGTGTGTTCCAGGGTTGGAAAGAGCGTGCTGGGGTCTGTCCTGGGGAGGGGCGTGGGCCTGACCAGGGAGAGCCTTGCCCACGGCCCAAGGAGTGTGAATTTTCTGTAGGGCGCAGTGGGGAGCCCGTGGAGGGTTCCAGGCAGAGGGAACCTTGCTCACCTTGGCAGGGCTCAGCCCGGCTCACGGAGGAGGCTCAGTGCTGCTGGCCCCGGGGGAGAGCAGGGTTTCCTACTTGTCCCGTCACGTCCTGCCCCATCTGGAAAGCCTGCCTGTCTGTCCACACTGGCCTCTGCTACTGCTCCTTCATCTCTGAAAAGTAATTCCTTATGTTGTGATTATGAATATAATTCATGCCCATTTAGAGAGCATTTGGGACACTAATTACCTGTGACCTAAGTACTTACAGAGAACCATTAATGTTTGGTGTGTTTCTTCCAATTTTTTCTCGATGCACTTTTTTTCCATACACTTTTAAAAATGGTGGTCACATTCATGTTGTTTTGTAGCCTTCGCCATTTAATTTGTTGTTAGTTTTTTTCCATGTCCACGCATTTTCCAGAACGTGATTTTAAAAACTCTTACCTGTGGATACTCCCATTTCCTTTGTCCATTTCTGTGCTTCTGCTCTTCGGTTCTCGCTTTTCGCCATTAGAAATGTTCTCACACACATAGCGTTTGTCGAGCCCCTTGTACACACCGGGGCACAAAAACAGGGTAGGCCGCGTGCCTCGTCTCCGGAACTCCGGGGAAGTGACTGGCGCCGAGCTCTCTGGCACTTGGGGGACTCAGCCCTTGGCCCAAGCTGACTGGGCTTCTCTGCTGAGCTGGGGTCTGGTCTACCACGCGAGATGCTCTCGAAGGCAGGCACTATGCAGTCCGTCCAGTCCCCCTATCCCCCCAGCATAGCGCGGCCTCTGGGCTTGCTCATGAACTTGACAGAGCACTCCCCACGCCGGGGGGCTCACTCACCGTGCTGTGGCTGTGGCAGGTTCTGCTGACCACAGAGCAGAGCCACAGGGTGAAGTGGAGCGGGTGTGACCACCAGTGATTTAAGAGCCAACACCTGCAAACGGGTTTAAATCTTTAAGCCTAACTACCTAGGGCCCACCCTTGGGTCAGCAGAAGCCATTTGTTGGTTAAAGGTTGTGTTTAAGCCCCTTGGCCAGTCAGATTTCCCCCTTTACCATTGCGCGTGCGTGCGAGTGTGGCTTGGAGGCTGCTCTCACGGTTCAGGAGTTGGCGGTTGGGCCCCCCGTGCAGCCTGTTGCTGGCACTAGACGGGACAGGTTTTACTTGACTCGCTGGGCCAGAGCGATCATAGCATAAGAAGGCAGGAACCTCCATTAAGCCAAACAAGGCAAGCATTAGTGAATGTTTTTTGAACGACTTGACTTGTTCTTACCAGGGTACACTCACAGATTCCTTGTGCTTTGATGTGAAGATGAATAAGAACATGTTTAAAATGTGGGAAATGAAATATTTTTAGATAGAACTGTTTCTTGATCGAAAGTACACAGCACTTCTGGAAATGGCGCAGCTAGGTTGGCAGTCATGGAGCTGCTGTAGAAGGCAGAGTTCTGTGTTTTGTGTCCCCACCCGTCCCTCTGATGCCACTGAGCAGCCTGCTTTCAGCGTTGGGAGATCACTCTGAGTCGGAGTTTTGGCTTTCCGCCCCAGCAGCGTGCGTGGGCTGTTCTCACCTTGCGCGTGTGCCTGCTGGGAGCCGAGCAGCTAGCTGCCTTACAGCTTCAGTGTCTGCATCTCTTCCTGCAGGGAGATGACAGTCTGTCTGCGATCACCTTCGACTCTGACACTGAGACGGTGAGTGTGATCGGGGGGCAGCAGCTCGTCCTGCCGCAGCTTACCTTCTGCTTAACGCACGTCGCTCCTAGGTGTCCCTGCAACGCTGCGCTTAGAGCTGGAACCCAGATTCTGGGTGCTGTCCGTCATTTGAGAAGTTCCAGGTCTTTATTTGGATTTAAGTAACTGTTGATGATAATTTGAAAGCTTCTATCCCAAAGTTAGTCCTGAGCCTCTAGAGTACACTTGAGGCAGATGACGAGTTCCTATCCTGCATCTGGTTTGGGCCCTGCCCGCCCAGCCCCCAAAATCTGACTTGTAAGGGGTGGAGGAAGGGCCCAGAAGTGGCCGTGTGGGAGAAAGGCGACCCTTGGCAGCTGTGGCTCTGGAGCTTTGCAGTGTCCTGGCCAGTCCCCAGGGAGCTGGGCACTGACCTGAAGGGACAGTAGGCAGCAGGGCTGGGCAGGCCCAGGTGCCCAAGGCTAACTGGGTCCCCACTCGGCCACCCTGGGTGTGTTCAGAAGGCTGTGCCGGGTGGAAAATGACACCCGTTGACTGCGCCCGTGGTGAGGATGACAAAGGACACTCGTCTCCCAGCAGGGTGAATTCTAGCCAAGCCCAGCCCGCACTGCGGGGTCTGGCACCCTCTCTGCAGACTCAGGGGGAGCCTTGCAGGACCTCTGACTGAAGTGAGGGCCCCTGCAGGGTTAAGAACTGCCCCTCAGCCCGCTGAGAACACGGGCCCAAGGTGCCCTGGGGGCAATTCAGCCTGCATGGGAACGAGGCCAGCGTGCCGCATGAAGTGGATGAGGGGACAGGCGCGAAGGCCGTGTCGTTCCCCGGCCACGTGACCACGATGGGGAGAGCCCAGGGATCCCCAGCTCTGCAGTCGTTGTCCTGGTCGTCCCGGGGACAGTATTCCAGACAGGCTCGCTCCTCTGCTGGCCCTGCCCTCCTCAGGGACTGGCAGTTGCCTTGTTCACAAGGTTTTGGCTGGCGGAGGCCAGCTGTGGGGAGAGTCACGCCCCGGCGCTCCGAGTGCTGGTCTGATCACGTGTCTGCCTGTAAGGTCCCACAGCCTCGCGCCTGGGAGGGGACTCCTGGCCCGCTGCCCCGGGGACTGACTCGGCCTGGGGCGCCTATCAGTCCGCATGCGCTTCTTCCTCTGCTCAGGCTTGGCTGTGTCCGCTGGCCAGTCCCCTCCCCATGGATGCCGTCACCCCCGCCCCGTGGGCGCCCTCACCCCCGCCCCGGGAGCACCCCAGCGCTCGTGACGGGCTGCTCAACACACTTCACCTCGTGTCTTCTCTCTTTCAGAAAGCAAAAAAGGAAAGTTTCCACAAACCTCCCCCCACATCACCAAGTAAGTATGACCAGACGCCTGACCTCAGACTTCCAGTGCTGGTCAGAGGATGGTCTCGAGAGGCCGCCCTTCCCTGGTGCCCTGGGAAAAGGACCCAGATGTTTTGTTCTTCGAATACTCGGGATCACTGAGACACGACACTGCTGCCACTTGGCTCCATTTTGTGCTGGGGTCTCGGGAGCGCCCGCTCCTGGAGTCGCCCTCCCCGGTCGCCTGGCCACCCCGGTGGTGGGGGGTCCAGCTGAGGGCCAGGCTGAGCCGTCGCCGTCCCACAGAGCCCACAGACACGGTGCTTCTCGCCTCCCTGGCTCTGTCCGTCCCACTCGCTCGAGCCCGGGCTCCGGGGACAGTGTCCAGTGACGAGCCACTTCCAGCCTTAGGACTTTCTCCTCAAGGCTGCTGTCCAGGCGCTGCCAGGGTTACTGCCAGACCAGGTGCATGGTCAGTGGTCTTTTTCTGGTCGGGGTGGCCGCGTGCCCATGTGGCTGGCAGGACTTCTGTCTATGTCCTTGGCCGGGGGAGGGGGGCTCCGCCCAGCAGAGGCCCGGGCCACGGCCAGCCAGCACCGTCTGTCAGGGAGGACGTTGCAGGATGGGTCTTACTCGGCTTAGACGACAGTCACACAGCCAGGCGGGGCAGGGAGGTGGCGCTGGGCTTCTGAACAGTGGTCTTCACTTCTCCTGCCCTGGAGGCCGGAAGCCTAAGGCCAGGCGCCAGCCTGGCTGGGTCCCAGCGAGGCCCCTCCGGGTGGCAGGGCAGCTCTCTGGGCGCTAATCCCGTCATAGGGCTCCACTCTCATGACGGAGCACCCCCAAAGGCCCACCTCCTGGGGGTTAGGCTTCCCCATGGGAGTTTGGGGGACACACACTCCCAGTCCATATAGCAAATGGCCACCCAGCCTCTCCCTGTCTCTGCCGTCCTGGCACAGGGGTCCACGTGCGGATTCTACGTCTATGAATGTCTTTCTGATGCACTGTAAATGCTAGGTCGGCCCCCTCCCGCTACCCCAAAACCTATGGCCACGCCCAACTTTATCATGTGCGTATGTATATTTTTACATGCATGTCTGTTTTTAACATGTTCTGTCACATATGACACGGTCAGAGAATACAAATGAACTTTCACATTAGTCTAAGGAAAACGTAATTAGGGAAATAAGCTGCAGAGAAAGGAAAGCGTGTTTTATACCACAAACGAATACGAACGTCACAAAGCAGTCATCCCGCGACTGGGATTTTTGATGTCCCGCCTCTCAGAGCTTCCAGAGAGCTGAGAAGCGGCGTGAGGACAAGTGCAGAGTTTGTGTTTCAACCTTGCTGTAGAACCGTGCCGTTTAAGTCCCTTTGGCTGGAAGGTGCCCAAGGTAAATTTTGAGCATCTTTCATTCTTACTGAAAAGTCAAGCATTTCAAGCATTGACGTAGTAATAAATCAGCTTACTTTTGTCTTGATTTCTGTAAATGTCAGAATGTGTTTTACACAACTTGGAATGGCCACAGCTCTGAAACAGGAAACTCGAGGTGTGTGGCCCCGCCAGCTTGCGGACATCCCTCATCCCCTGCTGGTTCTCAGTGACGTGCTCAGCCCAGACACGCTGTGTCCCCTTCCCAAGCACCCTGCCGCCTCCTTCACCCTCACTCACCCTCTCACAGTGGCCATCTCGGCACAGATCACTCTGTCACCTGCTTCCGTCACGTTCATCGTGACCTGCGGCTCTGTCTGGATTTCTGTGCATAAAAGCGGGGGCCATGTCCGTCCCATTCACTTAGCGTTTTCTTAAATTGAAGGCCCCTCAGGTTCCACGTGGCCGTGAGTCTCAGAGTGTCCCGAGGGCTCTAGTCGCAGGGGCTGCTGGGGAGGGCAGGGCGGGCAGCGCCAGCCACCCACGTGCTTCCGCCCTCCCGCCCCACTTCCCTCCCCCTCCCCAGCCCCCATCCGTCCCTCAGGTTTTCCTGAGGGATTGTCCCTGTCCACTGAGCGCTTCAGCGGCTCTTTAGTTTGGGAGGCAGAACAGCTGGGAGAGGAGCAGGGCCTGGGCGGGTGACACGTGTCCGGTCGGGGTCTGATGGGTCTTTGTCCCCTCGTTCCAAACTATCATGGGAAATTTTCCATAGCTTTTAAGGCCATGGAAATGACTTAGAAACTTAAAAAATTAAATATTATTAGACATAGATTATTAAGATCTTCTACAGCTATACATTTTTTTGCTATTTAAGAAATATAAGCATGTTTTATAAATAATGCCCTTTTGTATAAATTTGTTATATTTCATAATTAAAGAGATGAAAGCCCAGATTTAAAAATATTTTTAAAACATTTCCCTTATTCTGATGACAAACTCAAAAATGCCCTGCAAAGATATTTTTTCTCATTTCTTCTAAATATTTTACATATTAAGTTCTAAACATTATCACTCTGTAGCAACGTGAAAAAATATTTACAGTGTTAAGTATAAAGGATACAAAATCGTGTGTCTCCTATAACTGAAACTATATATAAAACATATGTATCTGAAAAAATTGAATGGAAAATTCAATTTTGTAATATTGATAGAATTATGGATTTATATTTAAAAGTTCCCATTATGTTATTTATTTATATGTTATTTTAAAAAACAAATGTAAGTATATGTACACATAACTATTTATCTTCATCAGGATGTTTTAGCGGGAATCATTATGCCCTGCGAATGTTTTGTTTTATGGTTTTGTCTGTCTAAAGCACATGTAGTCAGGTGACAGTGTATTTTGCTCCTCTAAAACCATGTATTGGCTTTCAGAGTCACCGTATTACTCTAAGCCGAGAAAAGTGGCATCCTGGAGAGCTCTGAGGACAGCGAGCATGCCCCTTGGTCACAGAATGTCCTTGACGCCGCAGAAGCTGTGGCTGGGAAGCGCTAAGCAAGGTGTGTGGTTGCTCCTGTAGAGGCCTTTCCGCCGCAGAGCGGGGTTTCCGAAACTGTGGGCAGTGATTCGAAATGTGGCTTGTCTGGGTGACATGGGTCTTAATCAAAGATGTTGAGCCCCCTGGCTTTGGCGTGACACGTGAGTGTGGTTTCTGACGGTCTGCACGTGTGACCCCTGATCTTTTTGGGTCTTGTGTTGACTTGGCACCGGCAGGGGTGTGTGGGAGCCAGCTCCCAGTGGCTTGCGAGAGCCAGCTGTTGAACGCGTAGGAATTTTGTGGCAGCCGGAACTGGACGTGGTGTGGCCACTTTCACCGTGGAAATGGGCGGATGCCACAATTCGAGCTTTGCCCATTTTCGAGAACCAGTTGAACGTTCGTCGGCGCACCGCCCAGTGCCGCCATTTCCTGGCTGGCTTAGCTTCCTCCGGCCCAGAAAGGCTGATCATCAGAGGCAGAGGCTTCCGCTGTGTTTGCTCGTCCCCGCCTTTAAACCCAGGCACGTTCAGACCAGGAGGCCTGAGCCAGCCCGGCCTCTGCCCTCCCCTTGGCGAGCACTCCCACCTGACTCACAGCTGTGAGAACCGAAAGGTCACATCTCGGGGTCTGCCAGCCACGTGGCACGTTGAGGGCGACAAGGCCGTGACTAAGGAAAAGCAGAAAGCAGCGAGATGGAGCGTCCTGTACCAGCCCCGTTAGTAGGAGGTCACGGAGTATCCCGAGGACAGTGAGCCTGACGGTCCATTCTGCCCTCCTCGGAAGGGCCTCTGTCCTGTGGACAGCGACATATCCCCCGCTTCACTTGTGCCTGCTCCTCAATCTTATTTACACGTATTGTGTAAACAGTACTAGAAATGAACATCGCAAATGGTAGGAAAAAGCCCAAATCTCAGCAGAAAGCGTCGGTTTGCCGGCCTGTCTCTGTCTCCCTGTCTGGTCCTCGCCCTTGGGCGTCCTCCCGCGGCCCTCCCTGCCTCTCCCTGCTCGCCGTAGCCCGCGGGCCGTCACCTCGCCGCATTGCCACGAGGAGTCCTGATACAGTACGTGTCATGCTGACACCAGAGTGCCCGTGCAGCGTGGGCGTCGGCTCCGAGCGTGCTCGTCCGTGTTGCGTTTGCTGTGAAACCTAAACACGCAGCTTCTCCTTTCGACCCCCTTCTCGAACCCTGTGACTGCAGCCACGCCCTGCGTGCGTGTCCTCCGCGTCCCCTTGCTTCCTCCTTCCGTGTCGCCGCCGTTCTTGGTTTCTTTTCTGCAACAGTGTCGTGATTGCGCTAAAAACGTTGCAACATTTCTGCTTTTTTTTTTTTTAAGATAATTGTACTAACTTCCAGGTTTTGACTAAGGTATAGCCCAGAATTCTTTCTCCTTTTCAGACAGTCTAAGAGGCTGTGTGTCTTCCTCCAGGTCGTGTCCTCGGGACGCCTGTCTACAGAGAGAAGGAAGACATGTATGACGAGATCATCGAGTTGAAGAAGGTGCTATTTCAGCCTGTTCTTGGTTGATGTTAAACAGCGAAAGCCTTTCACGACGACGGGGGCTCATGGGGGCTCATGGGGGGTCGTGTGGGAAGGCTGTGGGCTGTAGAGCGACACTGAGCTTACGCTGTGGCTGGTGACCCCGGTTTAGGAAAGGCCCAGCACCAACTGTGCCGGTGCCCTGCCTCTGCCCCTGGGGGTGCACACTGGGGACCTGTTGCCCTCAGCCCCTCTGCTCCCTGAGGCTTGGCCCTACAGTCGTGCCAAGCCGCTCCTATTGGCAGCCTCCCCTTTGTGTATTCCTGCCGTGTTAATGACACCGTGTACACACCACCTCAGCAGAGTGGCCTGAGATAGGTGACAACTATTACCTGGTGATGACCTTGAGACAGAGCTTATTAGCCTGGCCAGGGTCAGCCAGTAGCAGAACCAGGACTTCAGTCAAAGTCTGCCTCCCCGGGCCGAGGCGCCCTCCACTGCCCGTGCTCTCCCGCCCCCCAGAGGCCGGGTTCCGCTGACACGCCACCCCCTGGCACCTCCCTGGCCTCCTCCGTGCTCACTCGGTCCTTCACAGCCATGCCTGTTCCTGTGCCCCGGGGGAGTGGCGGGGGCCATTCTCTTCCTAACGCTACTCCATTTATAGATCTGCTGTCCCCTGTCCCCGGCCGAGCCCCTCTGCAGGTTTGTGGTCCGTCTGGGCCCCAGAGGCTGAGCAGGGCGTTGGCAGCCAGCGCGCCAGAGCACGGCGCCAGCACGCCAAGGAGGCCGGCCGCCGTCTTACCTGGTCGGGCCCCATGGGCAGCCACAGCCTCCTGTCGGCCCAGAGGACGCCCCACCACGGGCCACCGGGCAGGGAGCGCCTGGCCCGAACCGGAACACCCCACCGCAGAGACATGGACGCTGCTGCTCCTAGCGCCCCGGAGAGAGGCTTATTCCAGTTGAGGGGTTGCACCAGGGAACCCGGGGTCCCCAAGGCTAAGGGATTGCCATAGCAGCGCTCCTGGAAGGGAGCTCTGAGGGCCGGAAGTGGGTCCCTGGGTAGAATCGTCCCGCCTTTACTCAAATTCCCGTCGCGGGGTCCTGGACGAGCCCAGCCTCGGCCCCCAGGTTCGGGGGGGAGGCGCGTGTTCAGCCGTGCTCTGTCGCGCTGGGGTCTGGGTCATCAGAGCAGTTTTCCTGTGGCAAGCGACACCTCCGTTTCCTGTTGAAAACGGGGCAATAATACTACAGCGAATAGAATCAACGAAATAGTCCGCAAAAGTGCCTCAGTACAGCGCCCGACACACAGGAGGTTACGGGGAGGCCCCGCGCCCCCACCCCGTCCCCGTGCAGCTCAGGTCCAGGGCGTGGCGCCGAGGCAGCGTCCGTCCGTGTGCAGCTGTCTCGTGGTGTGCGTGGTCCCTGGGGCCACGGCCACCGCAGAGGTCCCCTCCACTGTCCCTCTGCAGTCACCCCCCATCAGCATCCCCCGTCCCTGGCAGCCTCTGCTGGTTCTGCGTCTCTGCGATTTTGGCGTCTTGGCGAAGCCGAAGCCGAATGAATGGGGTTGCACAGTGCGACCTTGGAGGTGCTCTTCCCACTCCCCCGATGCGCCCAGGATGTTGGGTGCTCAGCAGCACCCTCCTCTCGGTGCCGCTCGGCTGTGCCCTCAAGCTTTGCCGCATTGCGTTTCTCTGCCCACGGTCCTCTGAGATTGTGATGTGTGGCCGCCGAGAGTTTAAAGGTCTTCCTGTTCCTGTCGCCGTCGAGTTCGGTCCCGCGGTGGCACAGAGCACACTCTGCCACCTCGTGTCCTCCCATCCGTGGCGTTCGCCGAGGCCCAGAATGTGGTCCGTGCCCGTGCATGTTCGGGCCGTGCTCCGAGCATGCCAGCTAGAGCCTGCAGGCCGGGGCCGTGGGACGCTGCTGGCTCCCAGTCCCGCCGTCACGTACGTGCTGACGGGGTGTTAAAGTCTCCAAGAACAGTCGTGCGTTTCCCTGTCTCCCTTCCCGTGCCCCCTGCGTTCCACGGTTCGCGGCTCTGTTGCTCGGGGGCGCACACTTGGGATCGCTGCCTCCGGGGCGGCTCGACCCTGGAATCGTCGTGCGGTGGCCCTCCCTCTTCTGGTGGCTTTCTGCTCCCCGCGGTCTGCTTCGCCCGATGCTGACACAGCCGCTCCCGCTCGCTTCTGATGAGCGTATCGGTGGCATCTGTTTCTCCATCCTCTTACTTTGACCTGCCTGTCTCCTGTTTGAAACGAGTTTCCTACAGACAGCGTGTAGTTCGGTCAGCGTATGTTTTTCAATCTGCTTTGCCAGTCTCTGTCTTCCCATCGTCTTTCAGATCACTTCCGTTTCATGTACTTATCGACGCGTTAGGATTTAAGTCTCTGCTTTATTTTGTGTGTGTGTGGCCTCATTACCACTGGTCAGTGGGAAGTCATGACTCTCCAGTAGGCTTCCTCTGGCCACCCCACCTGTCCCCCAGGAGGAGGCGCGGGCACCTGCTCCAACCTGGCTGGGTGGAGGTCTCGGTCTCCCTCGGCCCTGGCTGGCCGGGTGGGGCCGTAGCATCCCCTGCGGTGTTTGTGGTCCTCGTCTGAGTTTCCTGCTTTGGCTGGCTGCCCCTTTCCTGCCGGAGAGAGGAGGCTGTTCTTGTGTGTGCCTGTTGGCTTGTCCAGGCTGATGGCTTCTCCAGCACCCAGTCCAGGATGTCCAGAGCCGAAAGGAACCTGGGGGAATCTCTGTGTGTCACCCTCATGTCCTGAGGTCCCTAGCTCGTCTGCCTTCTTCTCTTCACCTGTCTGAGTCTTCTCAGGTGTCACACACAGCGTCCGAGGGTTTGGGTGGACTCGCTCCCTCTTCCCCAGTGACTGCAATGACTGACTCATTCGTCAGACACTCACTGAGTGCCGGGACCTCTCCTGCCCCACTGCGGCACTGGCGGTCGCGCCCACCTTGGCCACGTGGCTGGCGTGCCAGGCCTCCCTCAGTGGACGGTGGACTCAGAATCCCCTTTCCCGTGGTGGCCGCTTTGTTCAGACTCTGTCTCTCTTCTGAGAACCGCGAGTCCCTTCAAAGGAGGACGTTTCTAAGATAACTGGTAGCTCAAGTGCAGGCTGATGCTGGACGCCAGGTGACCGTGGCACCAGCTGACCTGTGTGGGCATCCCTCGGCCGAGGCTGTGGACACTGTGTCAGCCTCACGCTCTTCAGGCTGCAGGGTGTCACAACGTCCAACGAGGACGTTGAAAATACAGACGCCCTCCCGTCGCCATGTCATGAGAGGACTAAGTCAGTCCAGAGTAGCAGAAAGGATGTTTCAAAGTACGGGATAGTTGTGGACAGTGAATAAGCTCAGTACTGTGCAGCGTGACGACAGGTGTCAGCTCCCCGCAGGCTGCTGAAAGGCTGCTTCACAGGCGAATGCTTGGGAACCAGTGCCCCGACCAGCCAGCCTCGGCCGAGGCTGAGGATCGGAAATGGGCATTAGAGTCTGACGAGTTTGGGTTATAGGCGGTGTGACCACCGAGGGCTTCTTGTGTGGCCGCGGAGGACACGCGACCCGGCGCCCGACAGCAGCGCCGTCCACAGCGTCCGTCTGTAGCGCTCCTCGTGGGGCATGGCGTCCCGAGCTGCGAGGGTGGGCCCGCACCTGGCGGGCACTCGCCCTGCCCCGCACCCAGTGCAGCCGTGCCCTTCGGAGCTCCTCGCCGTGCCGCCCGGGCCCTGCCCACCGCCACACCACGCGCCCTGGCGAACCGGGCGGCCTGGAGCGTCCCCGCCAGCTCGGTGTCCCCGGCTGTGCGTGTGCGTGCGGCTGCTTCCGGGTGCATTTGGCCCTTCTTCCTCCAGTCGCTACGCATGCAGAAGAGCGAGGTGGATCTGATGAGGACGAAGCTTCGGCGCCTGGAAGAGGAAAAGAGCAGGAAGGACCGGCAGATAGAGCAGCTTTTGGATCCGTCCCGAGTAAGTCCCGGCCCGGCCCGGCCCGGTGGCCCACCGCGCAGCCCGGCAGGGGCGGAGGGGGCCGTGCCGCCTGCTGTCACGTCTCACTCCGCTTCCCACAGGGCCCGGGTTCTGCTCGGACTCCGGCAGAGGACAGGCCTGAGACTGGCTGGGTGAGTACCGTCTCCAGCAGCACAGACACCTGGGCAGTGAACTTACTTTCAGAGCAGCCCACGGTGAGCAGGGCCCTCCCCCTGAGGCGTAGCAGACGCAGAGGAAGGGCCCGGGGCTCTCTGAACCCGGTCCCCACAGAGCGGTGCGGGTGACAGGAGATGCTGCAGGGCCGTGAGGGGGTGCGGGGCCCAGCAGGCTTTCCACGGGCCGGAAGTCTGCTGTAGGAAAGTGGGCGCAGTGGGGGACCGCCCCATCCTACCCAGAGAAACACATCACGCTTAACCAGCGACACTGATTTGAAACAGAAGCAAAG